GAACTGTATAAAAGGAAATAAAATATCAAGACATTTTGAAAACTTTAACAGCCAAATTATGTCATTAGTTAAGGGAAGAAGATTAGTTGCTCTACGTGCAAAAAGTAATAAAAGTCCATTCATATTAGTCAGAAATTTCCACACTAAAATAATCTCATCATTTATCTAGGCTTGAAGATTCATTTCCACCCCTCCAAGAGCTAACTAAAAATTCCTCGCTTTGCCACTGTTAGGCACAGCATATTTCTAGAATGTGCAAACATTAATTCTCTGTCTGTACTGCAGAAAGTTAAGCAGATCCTTGGCAGTTGTTCAGTTACTTGCACCAGTGGAGACAACCAGCTGTCCTGAATTATTTTATCAAGCTTCACAAACAAATGCTCACTTAACCTGATAGCTGTATAGACTTCAGACAGTGGACCATTAGAATTAGCATAAAACAGCATAATTTGCTACAAATTATGCTAAAGAGTATAATGACCTTCTTCATAGTTTTCTGGAACAAAACCAAACAAATACTCAAGATCCATGGTATGCAGACACTTTGTTACCTCCAAAAAAATGGGGCATTTCTCTTGAAGAATGCATTAGAGATGAAAGGTCCCCATGGTAATAGCTAATATGTCAGTAGGCTCTTCCTCTGCTCCTGACTTCTTGCTGAGCTCCTTATGTGCATTATTTCATTCTTTCATCACAAAATCCCTGTGGACTCTTTATTATCATTGCCATTTTACAGCACCAACATTTAAAAATGTACACTAACCTCAAGTTTAGACGGCTAGTAGGTAAGTGAAGTAGTTGATTTTATATCCTGTCATCTGCCCCCTTAGCATCTTTACTAGAATTGTGGGAAGCTCAGCTCAGGATCATCCAGGATTTGAGTTTTGATGAGCTGAGAGGTATAATATCGTGAATACAAAATAAAGGCAATAACTATTTTCTGAAACTAATACAGCTAGTCTTGGAGATAAGAATGTCAATTAAGCCTGAATCCTGCTGATGATTTAGAAAAGAAAGTCAAAACTGACTCTTCAAAAATATGACTTTCTAACTTTTATCAGTTGGTTAATTTCCGTTTCACTTCGAAACGGAAATTTTTTGTCTTTGAAATTCTGTAACACTATGGGATGAAGGGCTTCCCAGGTGGTGTGTTGGTAAAGAATCCGCCTGACAATGAAGGGGATGTAGGTTCAGTCTGTGGGTTGGGAAGGTCACATGGAGTAGGAAATGGCAACCCACTCCAGTATTCTTGCTTAGAAAATTCCATGGACAGAGGTGCCTGGCCAACTACAGTCCATGGAGTCGCAAAGGGTCAGACATGACTGAGCATGCGTGAGGATGGACTGTTACGTCTCTGGAGGGAACAGAAAATATTAGTAGAATTTTATGTAGAATTTTATGTATTTTTATTTTACTAATAAAATAGTAAGAATTTTATGTAGAATTTAGTAAAAGAAAAATAACTTCAAGATGAAAATATTAGTTTACATAGTAATGCATTTGCAATGAACCATGAAAATAACTGAAAATTTATTTGACTGAATGAACAGCCTGATTGAAAGCGTCCTCCTCATTCCTTCAATACTTTTATTTTTCATATTAGAATCCAAATCTGGATATAGAAAGTATAAATGGTTTAATGTTAATAAGACAGCACTACCCTCTGTGTCTGATTCCCTCTTCATAGTTTTGTAGGAAGAACAGACTGTAACAGTGGTAAACTCTGGCATAATTCTGGTACTTAAACATCACATGTATTCAAAGAGTACCTGCTAATTGAATTAATAAAAGAATATCTTAAGTAAGTTATGTTAGAGTCATTTTTTTAAAGTCAATTAATTATATTTAAGGATGGATGCAGTGTACATCACGAGAAACGCTGAGCTGGAAGAAGCACAAGCTGGAATCAAGATTGCAGGGAGAAATATCAATAACCTCAGATATGCAGATGACACCACCCTTATGGCAGAAAGTGAAGATGAACTAAAAAAAGCCTCTTGATGAAAGTGAAAGATGAGAGTGAAAAAGTTGGCTTAAAGCTCAACATTCAGAAAACTAAGATCATGGCATCTGGTCCCATCACTTCATGGCAAATAGATGGGGAGACAGTGGAACCAGTGTCAGACTTTATTTTTTGGGGCTCCAAAATCACTGCAGATGGTGATTGCAGCCATGAAATTAAAAGAAGCTTACTCCTTGGAAGGAAAGTTATGACCAACCTAGATAGCATATTAAAAAGCAGAGACATTACTTTGCCAACAGAGGTCCTTGGTTTTTCCAGTGGTTATGTATGGATGTGAGAGTTGGACTGTGAAGAAAGCTGAGCACCAAAAAATTGATGCTTTTGAACTGCGGTGTTGGAGAAGACTCTTGAGAGTCCCTTGGACTGCAAGGAGATCCAACCAGTCCGTCCTAAAGGAGATAAGTCCTGGATGTTCATTGGAAGGACTGATGCTGAAGCTGAAACTCCAATACTTTGTCCACCTCATGTGAAGAGATGACTCATTGGAAAAGACCCTGATGCTGGGAGGGCTTGGGGGCAGGAGGAGAAGGGGACGACAGAGGATGAGATGGCTGGATGGCATCACGAACTCAATGGGCATGAGTTTAAGTAAACTCTGGGAGTTGGTGATGGATAGGGAGGCCTGGCGTGCTGCGATTCATGGAGTCACAAAGAGTCGGACACGACTGAGCGACTGAACTGAACTGAACTGAACTGAAGGATGGAACATGATTATTTCTAAATTTATGAGGAAAGGAACTTCACAGTTTATATTGTTATTATTATATATAAATAACAGAAATGCCATCTATATGATGGAAAAAATGAGTTTACAGGTACATTTGTTTATATCCCCTGAAATAACTTAACTGCTTACTTCCACCTGGCCGTCCCCCAGGTATTTAACTCAGAGTCAGAGCCTATACCTCCCACAGCCTGAGAAATCCGTGATCCATAGGGCAAGTAAGGAAGATCAAGAGGATTTTTGTTTTAAATTCCATGTAAATGATGCCAATATTGAAATTGAAAGTGCTTCTTCTAACCAGGGTGGTCTCAAGAACTATTCATTTTTCAGAGAAAAGGGGTCAGGCATTATTAGTTTTCTTTTCTTTTATTGACCTTATTAGTCTGTAAGGAGCTGAAGGGAATCAATCAGGTGTCTATTTGGTTGTCTTTCCTCATCCTCTCTCCTTTCTTTCCTAATTTCACTCCAAATTTTCTGGCCATGTGGTTTTCTAGGAATTTACCACACCCAACTTCTATGGAGTCCTGACTTAAACCAATCTTCACAGTTCATATTCTGAACAATAACTGGGTTAGGGTAGATATGTAATACGTGCCAGGCAAGTGAAGACTGAAAGATGCAATTCTTGGATTTGGAACTGATCTATCTGAGAAACAGACATTCTTATTTTCCACTTGAAATGGACAAGGAAGCATTGAACATCTGTAACCTCTGAAAGATAGCTTGTGCCACAGGGAGACCCATCTGAGAAGGGAGCATCCCCGGGAAATCAGAGCTGACAAACAGGGAGAGAGAAACCAGGGTTTTGGTTATGTCGTTGAGCCGACAGATCAACTGAAGCCTGTAAACATTTCAGTCTGATAGTCCCCAAACTTCCCTTTATTTTAAAAGACAATTCGGCTTACCTCACTCTGTATAATGGGCTCCAGTTTCATCCATCTCATTAGAACTGTTTCAAATGGATTCTTTTTAATGGCTGAGTAATATTCCATGGTGTATATGTACCACAGCTTCCTTATCCATTCGGCTGCTGATAGGCATCTAGGTTGCTTCCATGTCCTGGCTATTATAAACAGTGCTGCGATGAACATTGGGGTGCATGTGTCTCTTTCAGATCTGGTTTCCTCAGTGTGTATGCCCAGAAGTGGGATTGCTGGGTCATATGGCAGTTCTATTTCCAGTTTTTTAAGAAACCTCCACACTGTTCTCCATAGCGGCTGTACTAGTTTGCATTCCCACCAACAGTGTAAGAGGGTTCCCTTTTCTCCACACCCTCTCCAGCATTTATTGTTTGTAGACTTTTGGATAGCAGCCATCCTGACTGGCGTGTAATGGTACCTCATTGTGGTTTTGATTTGCATTTCTCTGATAATGAGTGATGTTGAGCATCTTTTTATGTGTTTGTTAGCCATCTGTATGTCTTCTTTGGAGAAATGTCTGTTTAGTTCTTTGGCCCATTTTTTGATTGGGTCATTATACAGAGTGAAGTAAGCCAGAAAGATAAAGACCAATACAGTATACTAATGCATATATATGGAATTCAGAAAGATGGTAACGATAACCCTATATGCAAAACAGAAAAAGAGACACAGATGTACAGAACGGAATTTTGGACTCTGTGGGAGAAGGTGAGGGTGGGATGTTTCAAGAGAACAGCATCGAAACATGTATATTATCTAAAACAGATCACCAGCCCAGGTTGGATGCATGAGACAAGTGCTCGGGCCTGGTGCACTGGGAAGACCCAGAGGGATTGGGTAGAGAGGGAGGTGGGAGAGGGGATAGGGATGGGGAATACATGTAACTCCATGGCTGATTCATGTCAATGTATGACAAAAACCACTACAATACTGTAAAGTAATTAGCCTCCAACTAATAAAAATAAATGAAAAAAAAAAGACAATTCGACTTGGCTCTAGTGTTAACTGCCACAGAAAGTATGGCTAGTGACATAACCATATCTACTTTTTATTAGGCAGTGCCGTACACACAAGAGTTAAAGAGTGGAAAGTCCCTAAAACATGTTCTCTCAAACTTTGAATTTTTTCAAAATGACACTTGTCTTGTGTTTTATCATGCTATTTCAGTACATCTGAACATTACCTAAGGTCAACCAGAGAACTGAAAATGATTAAAACTTATAGTTCAACAAATTTACATTTAACTTGTGAGTTATTTAAGTCCTTGGACATTTGTAAGATGGAATGTACATTCCTTTCTTACAAATCTTATTTTTAATTTGTAAGTTTTTCTATGTCAGCCTATCATTTGTATTTGCTCAGTAAGTGTAAACAAATTGCTTTTAAAATATATCTTAGACTACTAGCATTCATTTTAAGAACTTCAACTGCCTTTAAAATGTTTTTAGAAGTCAATATAATTTTTTTAGGCATATTAATATTAACTGTCCCCATACTGGGCTTCCCTGGTGGCTCAGATGGTAAAGAATCTTCCTGCAATGAGGGAGACCCAGGTTCGATCCCTGGGTCCTAGCAGAGGGCATGGCAACCCACGCTAGTATTCCTGCCTGGAGAATCTCATGGACAGAGGAGCCTGGTAGGCTATAGTCCATGGGGTTTCAAAGGGTCAGACAATTCCTGCCAGGAAACCCTAGATGCCTTGCTGACGCTGTGCTAGGCAGACGTGAGTCAGGGTTTCATGGTGTGCCACAAGGTACTCAGACCAAAGTGTGCTCCCAGTGTCTCAATAGTCTTTGGATTGACTGCATACTAGTGAACCCATTACTTCATGCTATTATTTATGACTCCAGAGATAAGTCACACCTCCATTAAAGCCAATATTTTTAACTTTAGTCCCTGCAAATAAAACCCTAATCTCTGGGTTAGATAGCTCTTTTTACTTTGAAATGGTAGAAGGACTAAAGGAATACTAATATGTATTAAATGCTGCCTCAGTGTCAGATGCCATAGTATATGTTACCTCATTTTAGTCTTACAGAAACCTTAGGAGTTTTATATCATCTTCATTTTACAGGTAAACTTATGTTATATCTCATTGCCAATATGATAAAATTAATACTGGAAGAAGAAGATAGAACTTGTACTCTCTTTCCAGGGCCAGCCTGAGCTCATCTTTTAGCTTACCAAACTGCCTCTCAGGGCAAATGGTTGTTTCTCAGGACTTCATAGGGGTGACCCTAAGTGTTTTTTCAGGTATAACCTAGATTATTTGTCAAGGTGAAAGAGTTGCAAGTGTTAGTCATTCAGTCATGTCTGAGTCTTTGCAACCCCATGGACTGTAGTCTTCCAGGCTCATCTGTCCATAGAATTCTCCAGGCAAGAATACTGGAGTGAGTAGTCATTCCTTTCTCCAGGGGATCGTCCCTACCCAGGGATCAAACCTGGGTCTCCTGCATTGAAGACAGATTATTTACTATCTGAAAATGGAACCTAAAAGTCAGTATGTATCTTAAAGCACATATATAATAAAGTTGCTATTTTCTTAAAGCACAGATAATTTGCCTTGCATCCAATGTTGTAAAAAAAAATAATAATCCATAAATATACAAATTTTTAAAACTGTGAGAGACACCAGGGGTTGTTTGATCTATCTTTTTCATTTTTTTCAGAGGAGGCAACTGAACATATAGGCTTATAGTCACAAAACTCTTCATACAGAACAACTCGAATTGGAACTAAATTGCCCTGGGTTGATATTTCATACTCTTTATCCAATTCTAAGAACAAACTAGTAATAAAGTGAATTAAGAGAATTTAGAGAAAGAGAAAAGGACTTATTGGGGGAGAGCTAAATCCAAGTCAAAATTAAGTTACCCAAGTGACAATTTAATATGTTTGTGGGTTAAGAAACACAGTTTTTATTACTAAGGAGAAAAAATAGACTAAACGTAGTGAACACTTGCTTCTCTCATATTCGTTATTAAGAACTGCAATATGATACAGGTGCATTAACTTTTACTATTTTTTTGGAGAAAAGTTAAAAAAAGGAGAACAAATTATAAAATAGCATAAAACTACAGTAGCAAAGTAGAGATTGGTGATAGAAAACAAAAGAGAGAAAATGGATTTTTTTAAATGGTTAATAAATAGTTAAGGCAAAAAACTCCTAGGGCAGATTTTAATTTCTTCTATATATTATGGCATCCCAGGTGGCTCAGTGGTAAAGTATCTGCCTACCAAGTTCGAGATGCCAATTAGATCCCTGGGTCAGGAAGATCCCCTGGAGAAGGAAACAGCAACCCACTGCAGTATCCTTGCCTGGGAAATCCCATGGACAGAAGAGCCAGGCAGGCTACAGTCTATAGCGCTGCAGAGAGTCAGACACGACCGAGTGACTTGAGCACGCAGCACATACACTGTGACATTTTCTTAAACATTTTGGTGGCACATATCAGTCAGTACTTTCATGGGATAAGCAAGAGGACATAGCTGGAAATCATTCTGTACTTGGATATAAACTTCAGCTTTGTCAACAAGACTGTGGTGTGTGGCCACACACTTTATGCATTGTATACTCAAGAGGGCACTATTCATGTAGGCTATGACGGTGCCTGAGCTGGTCACTGAGTGATTTACTTAGTTGCATCCCTGTCTGATGGAAGCTATAGGCTAGTTCATTATGTCACAAATGCTATAACCCATAGCAGTAAATAAATTATCTCCTGTTGTTTTTCAAGGTATAATGGAGATATGTTGTTAATTTCTTTCAAAAACTTTAATCAAGATGGTCATGGGAAAGGGATTTTCCTAAAGGATCAAGCGAGACACACATATATCCCAAAGCTGGTTACCTGGTATGTTCACATACACAGACTTCCAGATTCAGACAAATGGAGAGGAAGATTTATTTGAGGAATATCTATGTTACTTTAAACAAAGGGCACAACAGGCTTTCTTAAAAGGTCATCTTTTAAATATCTTATTGTCACACTGTGAAACCCCACTCACTGCCGACCAGCACAGTTACTACACCTAAATAAATAGAGAGGAAGGGTAGCCCCATGAAATACTCAACGAAGGAAATGGAGAAACTTGCAGATTCTAACCTCAGCTCTGACCCTAACATGGTGTGTGGTCCTGAGAAAGCCATTTAACCTCTTGGTGTCTCAGATTCCCTTTAAAGTCTCAAATTTCAGGGGGTGAAGTGAGGATAGAGTTTTGGAATTATCTCCCTTAAAGCCCAGGAATGCTCCAAGAATGAATGAGTATTTTCTAAATGCAGAATAAAATGAAATTTTCAGTAGGAAAATATTTTGGCTAGGAGCTCTGTGTGAGGTAGATAAAGGAGTTTAAGTGATTTTACATTTTGATATCAAATTACTTTTTTTTTTAATTTCCCAGAGGAAAACTTAAAATCTTTGTGGTTTAAAGAAAAATGCAGTTTCTACTAATAAGAAAAAACAGATTCAATGGTTTTAGCATATTAATATTTGCTACCCTCATATCCATTATTAAGAACTGCCATATGATATAGGGTCATAGCTCTCTTCTGCGATATGTAAACGTTTCAGTAAATGGAATATGTTTCTATATGGTAACAAGTCAGTTTATATAGGACTAGTAAAGCGCATTTCTGGCATCTAAGGAGTGAAAAAATCATTTCCAGCAATTCCAGTCCTAATTGCAAAAAAAAATGTGTGTCTCTGATAATTATGTATAAAATATAGATGTTTTAATATGTGCAAATGACCTGGAGACCTTAATGTTTGGAGTTTTGTGCTATAAGTCTTAGAATAGACTCAAAATATGGCTAACATTAAAAGTAGTTACTCTTAATTGAGCAGCTAGTATATAATATTTACTCATTTTATAGTTAAATACTTAACAAAGAAGTATTTAATGGAGAGGGAGAAAATGATTCAGAAAATCTAGCTGAGAGACTCTTTTAAAGGCCTAGCTAGACCAGAGACTGTGAGATAGGGACTGTTGGTACCTCAGTTTTAGAAATGAGGGGACTGAGGCCCAGATATGTTGTCATTTGACAAATGTAAATGGGGAGCAAAAATGAGTTCTAGAGTAGATTTTTGGATTATATAAGATGTGGTACATTATGGCTTTACCATAAGAGCAAATGACAACTCAAAGTGGGAGAGTTAGAGCTCTAGGAGATGTGTTATACACACCTAATTTGAAACTTGTTCTTTGAGGTAATCACTAGGTGATCCAAGTCAGGGCACATCTGTGACAATTGAGTAAATACTCCAACTCTAGTAGTTCTGGAAAGGAAAAATAGATATTACAGTCCCAACCACAATGGCTTAAAATCCATCTCTCATGGATATTTGTCTATCCTACTTTATGACATGTGTTTGACTGTAGGACTTCAAACTAAATATTTTCCCCAAACCTTTTATCTCCTAAGAACTGTGCTAGGCACCAGGGATACAAACATGACTGATACACAGCTCAGGCTTTCAAGAAGTTTCAAACTCAGCAAGGTAGCCTGACAAATATACAAAGCCCATGATACCAGCTGGGAAAGTTAATCAAGGCTGCATGAACAAAATATGGGAGCCTAAGAGAGGGCTGTTAATTGTGTGGGGAGTTGGAAAGACAGGCGAGTGTTGGTGACTGTGGATGACTACAAGGTGAAGGGAAATACCCCACATGAGTGTACACGTGAATGAACTGTAAGTGGTTGATTCTGGATGTGGTGAGCGCTCAGGTGTACCCATACATCTAGAAACAAAGGGGTAACTCACAATATGAAATTAGGTGGGGGCTAGATTGTGAATGCCATGCTAAGACATCATAACTCTCTGGTGTAGATAGTGGAGAGTCATTAAAAATTTTGTCTCTATGGAAGCATCAGGTAGCTGGATATGAATTTTAGGAAGATAAATTTTAAAACTGGATGAGAGAGAGTGAGAGCAGGAGACTCAGCTAGGGTATGTTTGTGATACAGGAGATGAGAAAAATTAGGGAAAACAAAAGCAGAGAAATATATTGGAGATAAAGTTTACAGGAATTTGTGAGCCATTATTGTGGGGCAAGAAGGACTGAGATCAAAGGAAGTGGAAGTTGAATTTGACTCCAAGGTTTCAAATAAGTTAAAAAAAAAAGTCCAAAGTAAGGCAGATGAAGGCTAAGAGTAGAAGAAAGATACTTAGTCACAAGGAAGACTCCAAGGTTTCTTACTTGTGCAGGTGAGTTGCTCATGACAAATGAGAAAGAAAGCATAAGCAGAGAAGTCCACTTGGAGTTCAGGGCACAATATGTGCTATACTGGACATACTGATTTGAGGAACCTGTAAAATATGTCAACAAAGGTGAGATGTTTTGTTGGTACTAGTCAACCTTG